GATCTCAGGTCAGAGCTTAGGCTGATCTCAGGTCAGAGCTTAGGCTGATCTCAGGTCAGAGCTTAGGCTGGTCTAACTCTTCCTTGTTTATCTTCAGGTGATCCGGTTCGATGGAGGAGAATACGTGTCGATGGCGGGAGAGTTTAACGAGCTGCGCAGAGTGAGGGTCACACTCAAATGTTTCCCCCAGAAACATTCTGCTTACATGGTAACAATAACAATTGATGTTTGTGTCTCAGGTGACTCCAGATCAGTGGAACATTATCGGGATGATGACCAGAAGCACTAAAGGATCCTAAAAACACTCAGACACTCCTCATTGGACCACAACAACCAATCAGATCACAGGGCTCTGGTAGTCCCGCCCACCTGCTGATGTCATTGTGATGAGAGATGTGATATTTGCAGCGATCGAACTGTGATTATTGATTCTTATTGTTAGCTGAAGTCATGTGACTCACTGCACATGCTCAGTGCGTCTGTTTGATAATAAAACAGTGAAGATTAAACACAAACTGGTTCTGTTGATTGAAGATGAGGAGGAGGAGGCTTTAGGTAGAACAGTCTCTGATGAAGATGAAGAGTGATGAAGATGAAGGAGTCTCTTCACATTCTTGTGTTGAATTTAGAGACAAAGTGAAAAAGTTGGTTAACGTGAAGCTGAAGGAACAGACGACACGTCGAGTTCTAGACCAACATGTCCTCTTATGTGTATATAAACATAGTGTTTGGTAGATTATTTCTCTGTTGTAACAATGCTTCTTGGCAATAAATGTTATACTGTTGGAAAGCCTGTTTATTTACCTTTCAAACGGTGCCCCATTYRTRAGGAACATGCATTTGTGGGATGAGCAGCACAGCTGAGTATGTGGGTTGCGCCCATGAAAAATTTGCCAAATCTTCTCTGCCAAACAGCTTATTCTGCTGTTGCTATTGACTCTTGTTTGGTGTTGTTTGGTGGATTGGATGATTGAAGTTGTTGGGGAAAATCTAAATGACTAATTATTATGCATTAAATAATTGGTGAATGTTGTACATTTAACAGAGGCTCATGTCCTCTGTAGTGTTTAAGTGTCCTTGTGTGAACTATCTGGGACACCAGGCGTCCTCAGCAGATGTTTAGTCTATTAAGAAGCAGTTGATTGCCGAAAGAACACTTCAGCTGTTTGTCCTGAATAAGAATGATAATAAACTTGTAGAAAGCGCCAATACTTACGCAGGGCTGATTTGCGACCATGATTTACGAGAAAGTGACCTTTGTACTAGAACGAATTGTTAAAGTGTCCAGATACATGTGTGTGTGTGTTACCATGTGCCAGCCCACTGCATGTTGTTTACCGAGTATAAATACCAGAGACTCGGAGACAGATCTTCGAGCGGTCTTGATGTACATTCTGTATGTGAATCAACCCTGTCTCCTTCTTTGCAAAGAATAAATGTCCAGTGACTAATGATTTTTACACCAGTCTCGAGTGAATTTTTCTAACAGAAGTCTATCAGTAACAAGGAAGAAACGACATATAAAGAAAGAATAAAGACACTTTACGCACAATTTAGGTGTATTTTCCCTTTAACTCACGAGATGCAGATAGCATGTTTTATACTTAATGTGAATATAATTCATACTTTGTTGGCATCTTATTCTGAAAACCGGATGTTCGTCTGAAGAAACCGGATGTTGTCTCACGTTAATCTTTC